TCTTCAGTAAGTAACCTGCTTATTAACACTTAAACACTTAATTTTAAGTGTCACCCAAACGTATTGGTCACAGAACCCTGTTCTGGAGGAGTATTTATTAAAATTTTGGTAGGATACTAAGGGTTCTCAAATAGAGTTTCAGAATGCTGATGCCAAGGGCCAAACCCTGGGCTTGGTAGCAGAGACTCCATTGGGTAGCCCTTATGAGTCTATTTATCTAAGCTTCGCTGCATCAAAGCAACCTTCTTTACAAGGAGCTGTTAGAATTCAGATAAGATGCAATAGCCTGAACAGCCAACATCTGCTGTGTGTTTGTTCTGCCAGGCACAGCTTAAACATTAATAAGTAAAAATTATGCAGGTAAAAAAACAGCATCAAACAATATAGTATAAAAATTGGGTCGGGCACAGTGGCTTATGCCTGTGATTCCAGTGCTTTGGGAGGCCAAAGTGGGAGTATTGCTTGAGCCCAGGAGTTCAAGACCAACTAGGGCAATGTGGTGAGACCCCATCTCTACAAAAACTTTTTAAAACTTAGCTGTGTGTGCTGGTACACGCTTGTAATCCTAGCTACATGGGAGGCTGAGGAGGGAGGATCAGTTGAGCGCAGGACCCTGAGGTTGCAGTTAACTATAATGGTGCCACTGCCAGCCAGGAGTGACAGAGTGAGATCCTGTAACTTAAAAAAAAAATTGTCTTATTCCCAAGCTTGATTATCTTCCATGCCCAATTTCCTTTCTTGGAGCCCATCACTCTGCTAGTTCTCAGTGTTTCTTCCTAAGACATTTAATATATAAAAACCTGCAGATGCATCCCTCCCCCACCGATTGTTCACAAATCATGTTGTACTAAAACACTTTGCCTTTTAAACTTAAACATATACCTTGGAGGTTATAATGTATCCGTCCCTAAAGACCTGTTTTTTGTCTGTAAGTTACAGAGACGTCATCAATTTCTTTAATGTAATTTATCTCATGCCCACTCTTTCATTCACAACACATCAGCTGGCTTAGTTGGTCTTGCCCATAGGGGCCTGCTCAGGCATCTGCATACACACCTACACATGTAACTGAATGTGGGCTGAGGCAAGTTTAAAGCTGGACCAAATGAAGAAAACCAGAGAGTTGTCATGTGCGGTGGCTCACACCTGTAACCCCAGCACTTTGAGAGGCCAAGGTGGGCAGATCATGAGGTCAGGAGCTCGAGACCAGCCTCGCCAATACGGTGAAACCCCGTTTCTACTAAAAATAGAAAAATTAGCTGGGTGTGATGGCGTGCCTATAGTCCCAACCACTTGGGAGGCTGAGGCAGGAGAATTGCTTGAACCCAGGATGTGGAGGTTGCAGTGAGCCAAGATGGTGTCATTGTACTCTAGCCTGGGTGTCGAGACTCCATCTTAAAAAAAAAAAAAAAAAAGCCAGAAGGTTTGATGGGAATGATTGAACCCAAGTGCAGCAAGGAGGATGATACTCGTTTTCCTCTGCGGTATCCAAATCCACATGTGACAGAACAGAACCTCTCTGGACAGCCTCTTTTCTCACCCTGTAAAGGAGGACTCAGCCCTTCAACACACCCTGCAAGTGCCAATTTCACAGCATATTAGTAAGAAACAGATATGTTACCAACTCTTTGGTGGAGAGGTAGGAAACAGGTTTCCCATGACTCACACACCGCATGGCCACCTCATCACTTCATCAAGGCCACCTCATCACCTGCTCTCCCTCAGCCTCACTCGCCTCCTCTTCCACTACATCTTCCTCTCAGCTCTCTCCTTCCCTTTCTGGTCCAGAGCAATCTCACTCTCTTGCCTTCTCCCCTTTGCATCCTCATGCCCACTCCCTCGACCTGCACAGAGCATTTCTCCAGTATAGTCTCTGGTCCATCTGCATCAAAATCACCTGCAGGACTTGCTGACAATGCAGTTTCCTGGATCCCACCCAGGACTCAAAAGAACTAGGAATTGGGAGAGGAGGGGCCTGGAATCAGCATTGCTAGCAAGCCCCTAGGTGGTCTGTAAGTGGACTAAGCATGAGGACCAGATGTGGAAGGTTGGCTTTGGCACCATCGGCTGGATCCAGGAATTTGGAGCCAGGTTGATGGGGTTAAGTGATATTGTGTGTGGTGGCCTGTGGGTAGAAAAGCCACTATCTGGGGATGCTCTATTCAGAAAGGGACCATGGCATGGCCCCACTATTACTGAATCTGATCTCGGGGGTGAAGGAGGAAACTGCACCACTTGTTTTGCATGTGGCAGGCCCCGCTTGGAGACCGGCAGTTGTTCCCTTTATTAAAAAAATTAGGGTAGAAGTGATATGCAGTGCACAAAATCTAATTGTGCAGCTTGATGGATTTTTACATAATTATACTCCTGTTGAGCCACTGCCCCCATCAGGATATAGAGCATAGGCTTCCTTGAGCCCTCTTCCTCATACCTCCCTGCCACTATTGTAACTACTGTTCTGACCTCTATCACCATGGATTCATTTTGCTTGTCTTTGAACTTTGTGTAAATGGAATCACATGGGCTGTACTCTTTTGTATTTGGCTTATTTATTTATTTTGAGGCAGAGTCTCACTCTGTCTCCGAGGCTGGAGTGCAGTGGCATGATCTTGGCTCACTACAGCCTCTGCCTCCCAGATTCAAGTGATTCTCCTGCCTCAGCCTCCTGAGTAGCTGAGATTACAGGTGCCAGCCACCATGTCCAGCTAATTTTTGTATTTTTAGTAGAGATAGGGTTTCACCATGTTGGCCAGGCTGGTCTCGAACTCCTGATCTTGGGTGATCTACCTGCCTCGGCCTCCCAAAGTGCTGGGATGACAGGTGTGAGCCACCGTGCCCAGCCGTATTTGGCTTCTTTTGCCCCGCATGATGTCTGCGAGATCCATCCATGTTTTTGCATGTAATAGAGTCTGACTTTTCCATTGCTGTATACCAGACGTCAGCAAACTATTTCTGCAAAGAACCAGATAATAAATACCTTTGCTTATAGAAGTCATAGTCTCTGTTACAACTATTCAGCCCTGCCATTGTAGCTCAAATGCAGCAATAAACAATACACAAACAAAAAGTAGGCTACAGGTTGGCCTGTGGGTCACAGTTCACCAACCTCTGCTGTACAATAATTTGTTATAAATTATCATAAATATATGACATAAAGAATTATGAGTTATGATGAGAATTGGAAATAATTATGAATATAGCACCATGTATTTAGTTACCCATTCTCCTGTTATGGGTATCTGGGTTATTACCTCTCCTCGATACAATGATTAGGGCTGCACTGTGTTCAGTGAACCTGTGCACTCATTTTGTGCTATTGTCTTAGTAGACACTGCCAAACGGTTTTCCAAAGTAGTGGCACCAAAGCACACTCCACTAGTAAAGTTGCTTCACAGTCTCAAGAACACTTGGTACTGTCAAAGTCTTTAGCTGTATTGTTAAATTTTTATGAGGTCCAATTTAACAATCTCTTCTTTATGGTTCGTGCTTTTTGTGTTCTGGTTAAGAAATCTTTGCCTGCCCCAAGGTAATGAAGATACTCTCCTGTTTTCCTCTAGAAGCAGGAAGGTCTGCGATCTTCACATTCACATCTAGGCCTACGATCCATCTTAATTCCTTTTTCTGTTTGATGTGAGGCAGGAGTCAATGTTTATTATAGTTCATATGTGAAATCATCTTGTCCCCTGTACGCTGTGATAGGAAGGTTGCATGTACGGTCGAGGTCTAATCTTTAAATAGAGTCTGAATACCGGTAGTATTTTCAAAGCTGGGCAGGGTCTCTAGACTTTGTGCCAGGAGGAAGAAATGAAGGGGAGTGGCTCTAGATGATCTGGGCTGCAGTCATCTGAATTGAAGGCCATCCAGAGAAGGGAGGTTGATTCTTTCCATCTGTAAAGTTCTCTGACTCTGTAACACTTAGGGAGTATCACATTAGGCCTCGATTTTTCAGCTGTTGCTGGAAAAACCAGAGATTTCCAAGAAACTACCCTTGGGAAAAAGAACCTAACTGTACATTTAAAAATGTTTCACTTCTCTTCAGGTCGCCCAAGCCAAATTTTTGCTTCCGGAGGAAAACAGGCTCTAAACCATGAAAGACTAAGTAAGCCAGTGCTAGCAGCCGCAGTAACTGGGGAAAGTCCTGTGTGTTTCAAGACCAAGAACTGTTTATTTCTGTCAGTGACAGAAGGGGTGACCTGGCTCAGGTTTGGAAGACATCAGACTATGCGCTAATATTTTCCAGACAGATGACTACTGTCCAGTGCTTTCCTGGACCGCTCCCCAGAGCCTGCTCTCTGGCTACGTGAGCCTGGGCAGCCATGCTGCATTTGCAAAAGGCAAGAAAGCGGCTTTTGTGTACATCACACTGGTCTTCTGGGCACTGGGTGTTGGTTTTTTCCCCACCATTGCCAGAGTGGGAACAACCTGTGTGGATTTGGACTTGGCTGGTGGGCGCTGAGCCGGGGAGTTAGTGGGAAGGGAGGGTCTGGGCCCTCAAGTTGCTGCCGGAAGAGTATTTCATTCCCTGACTCGGGGTTTATTCCAGAGCACCTGGAGTCTGTGGGGCAGCTGCGCCTGGGGATGAGGCACCTCGGCTCTGTGGGCTCCAGCATCCTGGGATTATCCTTGGGGTCTGCTGTCTTTGGAAAGCAATAGTAATTGCAGTTAACAAAAAATTTCTTCTCTGCCTTATTAATTGATGCATTTGTCCAACAGATATTTATTGAGGCAGGCACTATGCACAGCACATATACATTAATGAGCAAAACAGACAAAAATCCCTGCTTTTGTGGGGCCTTCATTCTAGTGAGGAGAAACAGACAACGAACAAATAATAAGTAAGTGATGATGTAGGGTGTGAGGTTGAGCTCTGGGGGAGATGCATGGAGCAAGGTGGGGGGTCAGGAGGGTGGGGGTCAGGAGGGTGGGGGGTCAGGAGGGTGGGGGGGTCACGAGTGGGGGGTCAGGAGGGTCGGGGGTAGGAGGGCTGTCATTTTAAATAGGGGTGGCAGGGCTGGCCACAGTGAGGAAGTGACACGTGAGCAAAGACTGGAAGTGCCGGGAAGTGAGTCATGTGTTATTTGCAGGAAAAGTTGTCCATGCAAAGGGACAACTCTGTGGAGGTCGCAAGGCTTTGTCTTGCCCCAAAATTAGGCAAATTCAAAATCTGAAGCTTAGAGGAGTAGAGAAGGAACTCCCTCCTTCCTTCTGCATGTGTTACTTCAGTGCCTGCCACATACCAGACACTGTCACACTCTGTGGTTCTCCTTCAACAGAGAAACAAAGGACAGAGGACTCTCCAAGCATCTTCAGAAATGCCCCCAGTGTGGCAGGCCAGATGGGAATTTATTGATGGATTAAGCCTCTCTCTAATATTAGAACCTCATAGATATCCCTGAAATGAAATGAAATTGTAATGTGTTCACTCCAACTATTTTTATTTCATCCCAACTAACCCCTATCTTCTGAGGTTTTGATGGGCATTTTAATTAAATCATGAAGAGCCCTTTGTCTCCCAAGAAAGGGGACTGAAACCTCCCGTCCCTCTGCCTCTCTCCTGAGTGCTAAGGAATGTGCCTTGTTCTCCGCAGGGTGTTGGGGTGGCAGGACCCAGTTCTGGACACAGCCTTCACCCCAAATCTTACTGCCAAGATCAGAAGGAATCTTCCCAAGAGAGAGCAGCAGCCACTCGCAGATGGAGCAGCTGCAGGATCCTGGGTACTTGGTAAACATCACTGAAAACAACCTGCCTCCATCCTGTGTGTCTATGCGTCCTCTCCGCCCGGCCTGCTGTAAGCAGCTGTGAACCTTCTCATCGTTACACTTCAGCTCTATGCCTTTCTAACATGACGGGCCAGAGCTGTCTATTGCTGTGCTGAGAATAACCTTGCCTGATTAGTCCATGCTCACATTACTATACAGGAATACCTGAGACTAAGCCGGGCACGGTGGCTCACGTCTGCAATCCCAACACTTTGGGAGGCCGAGGCAGGTGGATTACCTGAGGTCAGGGGTTCAGGACCAGCCTGGCCAACACAGTGATATCCAGACTCTACTAAAAATATAAAAATTAGCTGGGCACAATGGCAGGCACCTGTAATCCCAGCTACTCAGGAGGCTGAGGAAGGAGAATCTCTTGAACCCAGGAGGTGGAGGTTGCAGTGAGCCAAGATCGTGCCACTGTACTTAAGCCTGGGCATCAGAGACCTTGTCTTAAAAAAAAAACAAACAAAAAAAAACAGACTAGGTAATTTGTTTTTTTTTTGAGACGGAGTTTCGCTCTTGTTACCCAGGCTGGAGTGCAATGGCGCGATCTCGGTTCACCGCAACCTCTGCCTCCTGGGTTCAAGCAATTCTCCTGCCTCAGCCTCCCGAGTAGCTGGGACTACAGGTGTGCACCACCATGCCCAGCTAATTTTTGTATTTTTAGTAGAGACGGGGTTTCACCATGTTGACCAGGATGGTCTCGATCTCTTGACCTCATGATCCACCCGCCTCGGCCTCCCAAAGTGCTGGAATTTGTAAAGAAAAGTTGTTTAATTGGCTCACAGTTCTGCGGGCTGTATATGAAGCGTGATGCTGGGATCTGCTTCTGGGGAGGCCTCAGGAAGCTTTTACTCATGCAGAAGGCAACGCAGAGGCGGGCACAGGACTGAGAGAAAAGGAGGAGGTGCTGCACACTTTTAAAACAACTGATCTTGTGAGAACTCACTATTCCAAAAACAGCACCGGCAGGGAAATCCACCCCCACGATCCAATCACTTCCCATCATACCCACCTCCAGCACTGAGGATGCCGATTCCACATGAGATTTGGGCAAGGACACAGATCCGAACCCTATCACTGGGGATTTGTCATTCATCAAGTCATTCATGCACTTCCTCATTCTATAGTCATTCGTTCATTTCCATATTCATGTCCCATAGGTCCTTTCACATTAATGCCTCCAACATAGAGTTCCTGATTTTATTCTACTCCTAAATTAGTTTCTCTTCCTGCCTTTCCTGTCTCAGTCAGGGGCATCCCTGCTCCTCAGTCTCAACAGCCAGAAACCTAGGAGTCACTGCTGACACCTCTGCCCCCTCACCTTCCATATGCATTCATCATCAAGCCCGTCTTCAACATTTCCAGCCCTTCTCCTTCCATTCATCCCCTGTGTGACCTTGGGTAAGCTGATTAACCTCTCTGTGCCTTTCCCCATAGTAACATGGTGATAAAAATATCACTATCTCAGAGAATTGTTTTGATGGCGGTAGGAGTTACTGCACATAAAGACAGTATCTAACGCATAATAAGAACTAAATATATGCTAGCCTAGCGAGATGATGGGAGTAGGTTTTTCTCATCCTGTAGTCAGATGGGAGTCCATGGTAATTCATAAGATTACATTTGTAATGTAATGCTTTAATTTGAATGCATGAAATATTACATTAAATTATAATAAAGGAAAAAAGTTTATCTTAACAAAAAATGATTCAGTAAAAGAATAATGACATGAAAAACCAGTCACATATATTATTTATTAAGCAAAAAGAATACCACATTACAAAACAGTGCAAGTGGAGTGATCTAATTTTTATAGAAAAATTGGCTGGGCGCGGTGGCTCAAGCCTGTAATCCCAGCACTTTGGGAGGCCGAGGCGGGTGGATCACGAGGTCAAGAGATCGAGACCATCCTGGTCAACATGGTGAAACCCCGTCTCTACTTAAAATACAAAAAATTAGCTGAGCATGGTGGTGCGTGCCTGTAATCCCAGCTACTCAGGAGGCTGAGGCAGGAGAATTGCCTGAACCCAGGAGGCGGAGGTTGCGGTGAGCCGAGATCGCGCCATTGCACTCCAGCCTGGGTAACAAGAGCGAAACTCCATCTCAAAAAAAAAAAAAAAAAGAAAAAGTGTGTGTGTGTGTGTGTGTGTGTGTGTGTGTGTGTGTATGTATGTGTGAATAGAAGAACCAGCCTAAATGATAACAGTGTAACTACCCTCTGGGTGGTAGAATTATATAGAGTTTTAAACATGTTTTTGTTGATCTATATTTTTCTACAATATATTATATGTAATTTTTAAATTTTGTTTTTGGAGAAAGGGCCTCACTCCTATCACCTGGGCTGGAGTGCAGTGGTATGATTTGGGCTTATTGCAGCCTGAACTTCCTGGGCTCAGGTGATCCTCCCACCTCAGCCTCCTGAGTAGCTGGAACTACAGGCATGCACCACCACACCTGGCTAATTTATTAACCAGGGTTTTGCCCTGTAGAGACGGAGAGTGAATATGCTCTCGAAATCTTGGGCTCAAGTGATCCACCCTCCTCAGCCCCCCAAAGTGCTGGGATTACAGGCATGAGCCACTGTGCCTGGCATACATAATTCTTATAATTAAAAAGTTAACAAAAATAAAAGTAAGCAATTGCCGTGCCCCTGGGTAGCTCTTATCTATAGGATGAGGGGCCCACACTCCTTGGCATGGTCCCCAAGATCTGGTCCCTTCCATGATCCTGTCATTTCCCTTCCCCTCCCAGCCACACACACACACAGATACACACATGGCTGCACACACTAGTATCATCATGTTCCCTCCAACTCTCATGCGAAATGTGATCCCCAGTGTTGGAGGTGGGGCCTGGTGGGAGGTAACTGGGTCATGGGGGCAGATTCCTCATGAATGGCTTGAGGCTGTCCTTATGTTAATGAGTGAGTTCTCACTCTTGACGTCATGCAAGATCTTGTTAAAAAGAATCAAAGAGTCAGGGACTTACCCGTTTCTTTTGCTCCCTCTCACCATGTGACATGCTGGCTCCCCTTTGCCTTCTGCCATTATTGGAAGCTTCCTGAGGCCCTCACCTAAAGCAGATGCCAACACTTTGCTTCGAGTACAGCCTGTAGAAATGTGAGCCAAAGAAACCTCTTTTCTTTGTAAATTACCCAGTCTCACGTATTCCTTTATAGCAATGCATATCAACTAATACAGAAAATTGGTACTGAGGAGCATACCAATTTTGTAGTGAACCAACATTGAGTGTACAATATTGTAGTTCAGCAATATTGAAGCTAGTTGACACCTGAACAATAGGAGTTTGAACTGCATAGGCCCACTTATGAGTGGATTTTCTTCTGCCTCTGCCATCCCTGAGAGGAGACAGCAAACCTAGTCACTCCTCTTCCTCAACCATCTCAACATGAAGATGACGAGGATGAAGACCTTGACTGTGATCCACTTCCACTTAATGAATTGTAAACACATTTTCCCTTCTATAGGATTTTCCTTCTTTGAGACAAGGTCTTGTTCTGTTGCCCAGGCTGGAGTACAGTGATACAATCATAGCTCACTGCACTCTAGAACTCCTGGGCTCAAATGATCCTCCTTTCTCAGTCTCCTGAGTAGCTGGGACTACAGGCATGCACCGCTGTGCCCAGCTAATTAAAAAAAAAATTTTTTTTTTGTAGAGACAGGGTCTCGCTTTGTTGCCCGGTTAGTCTCAAACTTCTGGCCTTAAGTGATCCTCTGACCTCAACTTCCTAAATTATTGGGATTACAGGTATGAGCCCGGCCACTTATGATTGTCTTAATAACTTTTTCTTTAGTTTACTTTATTGTAAGAATGCAATATTTAATACATATACAAAATATGTGTTAATCAACTATTAGGTTGATTAACAGTAAGGTTTCTGGTCAACAGTAGGCTAAGTTTTTGGGGACTCAAAAGTTACACAGATTTTGGACTGTGCAGGGATCAGTTCCCCTAACCCCCATATTGTTCAAGGTTCAACTGTACTTAGAGTTCCCCAACCCCAGCCCACTTCCCCAGGCCTCCGTGCATTTGCATGTGCTGTCTGCTTTGCCTGGAACCCCCTTTCTCTTGTTAGCTCAGTAAATAAACTCTTCAAAACTTTGCTCAGCGATCCATGCAAAACAACATCGACAAGTTGTAGTTCATTAAAATGTAACACTTTTGCTTTGCAAGACACACTTTAAGAAACTGAAAAGACTGGGAGAAAATATTTGCACACCCCGTATCCAAC